TTGCAAGCTGACCTTTTAGTTGATAGCCATGTAAAGGTATTGTCAAGGAATAGGAGAGTAAACAGCATTATCAAGAAACAGAGACAAGGAACAAATAGTGTTAAGAGCAGACAAATGAGCAGTAGTGGTCATGGATAAAGTTAGTTATGTAAAAAAGAGCAAATCTCAACGCAAAAGATTGTCAGTAAGGATAATTAAAAAATCCTGAAGTATCTACTCCGAGGTTGCCTGCAACAATGTGTAGCAACTAAATAAGTGAATTGGAAAATGAACAAACTTAAAGAGATGCCAGGCCCCCGAATGCATATGGTCTGCCGAAGATACATAAGTAGCACCACTCGAAATTTTTTTCAATAATAAGAGGCATATGCATAACAAATCACGATGTTTGACAACAAATAAAGCAAATCTCCGAGACATGGCAATTTTCAATAAGAAATTCTTATGAATTTGCTTAGTTAGTCGATGAGCAGAGGATAGGTGGGGATTTTCTTATTAGTTTTGATGGTGATGTATACGAATACTCCGGTAAGCAGAGAAACAAATGCTTTATAAGTATTTTGAAAAGCACAAATTTAGGTGAGACAATAATGTTGACGAATTAAGTGAAGGGCTGTAAGCAGAACGAACAAACACGAGACCTAATAATGGAATCGTGCTTGTCTCCAAATTTTAGCAAATAGTGCCATTGGCTTAATTAGAAAGCCGCTTGGTACAAAAACGCTTAGTTCTTAAATTATCGGTTAGGTACATAGATAACAGATTTGCCATTTGGCAACACGGTTAAGAAGAAGACGTTAATGAATAGAAATGACGGGAAGAGCAAGTTCACCACAGAACTAGAGAAAGACGGTAGTCTACTTTTTTAGATCTCATAGTTATCGAAGATAGAAAATAAAAGGGGAATAAAGATTATTATTAGAGCTCATTTGGCCCTTTTAAATGGTACTATCAAATCAAATATGGGGTTGACTATATAAGAATATGCTTAGTCAATAAGTAATGAATTGAGTATATACTTAAGTGTAATTAACATAGGCATACCGAATGACGCGCGTTCATAGTCTTGACAATATCTCTAACTACATGCAATTTGAAGGGCCGATATCCCAGAGGAACGTCAAGTTTGGCAACTTTCGTAGGCTTAGGAGGCTGATATGGCTGTGAGAGGACAGATGAAGCGGCACCAATAGTAGAGGCGGACTCTGGACCTACAGTCTTGTATTGAGACGAAAATATCTGAGTCGTAGGCTTTTCGATACTCAGCATCTCCAATTCAGGAGTGACACTTTGTTGGTCTTCTTTAAATTTAGTTAACGCAAGGGGTGCGTTTGAAATCTCAGCCGTCTGCTGAGAATGCAAGCAGCGGATATCCGAATCATTGTTAGTGGAATCCAAGCTGACTTTCGCTCTATCAGCAAGTTCATCGGTTCCAAGGTGCTCCAAACAAGGGACTTCCGAGGAATCTGCGTCAGTTAGCACTTGATGATCACCTCCTATCATCTGACTACTATTGCCTTGCATCCCATTTGAAGCATGATCAATCCTATGACAAGTCAAGACTGATTCATTAGATTTTGATTCATGAGAATTACCATCAGAGGCAAGATCTCCTTCCACAAGACCTGATGAATCGTCCAAAAGTTGTGATGCTCCGACAGGAATACCTTCAATGTTGGTGCGATGAATTGCCTGGCATGTTAACTTCAAACTAGAACATGAAGCGAGGAACTCGGCTACTTTTGAACGACAAGAACCAGCTGCTGCTGCGTCGTAGACTGGCAACCAGAGCTCGAACTCTGCTTGCCAGTTCTAAAAGGAAGGAAAGTACCGATAAGCTGAGTCGTAACAGACCTAAAATAAGTAAGCCAGCCCAAACCAAGATTGATTCAGTTTTATTTCAGCATTCATATTGAAACAACAATAAGTACATTTATACTAGCTGGCGTGGTGCGGAAAAAATGTGCTGAAGAACATAAAAACAACCTGTATTGTGTTGATAGGAACGATCACAAGGACACTTTTAGCCTGACATTGACGGAAAAGCAGTTCCAAGAATCCGATGATCTGGATGGTTTTACCCAAGCCCATACTGTGTGCCAAGATACAGCCAAAGCCTTGACTGGACTGGAAGCGAGAAAGACTTTCAACCAGGTTTTCGTAAAGAAAACGAATACCACTGACCTATATAACAAGAAAATTCTATATTATAACCAATGTAAGATCATACAAGGACGTAGGATAAATAATAAATAATATTAATATGCTTCAGGTAGAAAAGATGATTCTACATATCAAGATTAATTTAAATATTAACTTATGCTCAAATTTTCCGGGAGTACTTGAAGGGTATTACGCAAGAATATAAATGTGGCTGAGATGAATTAAAAAAACTTAACTTGTGGTGTAAGGGTTTCAAATAAATTTGAGTAAACTTAGTTGATTACCAAGTTAAATTTTCAGATCCATTTTTGTTCACGCATACTAATTCTGTTGTATAGAGACTGAGATCACACAAAAGGCCTACTATCTTGGTCTTCATATTTTCTATCATACTAATTCCGATTTACGAATTTTTTAAAAGAATAATAGAGCTAATACATGCTTGAATCTGTAGAATAGATTCAGGACAAAATAAGCCCAAAATGGATGAGACAATGCTTGTAGACATGAAGCTAGATAAATCAAAATATCGAAGGTTCATAAATATGATGAAAAAACTAGATGTAAATTAATGTACCCTCTGCTATCTCAGGACACAAGCGAAAAAACAGCTTGCTTGTAAAACACATCTCGCAATAGTGCACTTACTTGATGTGGTTTGATAACGCGTGAAATCTGGGGTGCCAACTCAATTTCAGGATCAATTCCGATGTCTTGAGAAGGACTTATGAGGACTCGTCCATCTTTATCAGGCAAATTTCGTGCATCTTGCAATTCACAAACTTCTATTTCTATCTCCTCTTCAGATTCTTCTTCTTCTTCCCCATCACTGACCTCGATTACAACCTGTTGCGTAAAAATATAAATACAAAATTAAAATAAATATGAGTATATAATGATTTTTTTGTCAAAAGAAAACAGAGAAATTGTGTACACGAAGAGAAAAAAGTTAATATAAAAACGGCTTTACATGGGAGTAAATTCGAATAGTGAATAACCTGCTCAGATTTTTGTATATCAACTCCTTCATCATCTGAATCAACAAGGAGTATTGCATCATCACGAGAGCCACCGGAGCGATGAGCATTATAGGTTGAAGCGAAGAGATTGGCTGAGGCAGAATTGAGTACAGAAGATTTTGACCTGAGATATGAATCCTCCTTATTACTTGGGGTAAATAAAGACTGTTCATTTTTTTTACAAATAGATGCAGATTTTGAGG